CTTTCAATTTCAAATCTCTCTTGCAAATATATGCTTTGAGCACTTAACGAACAGAGTGTCGAAGACAAAGAAATGGGAAAAAAAATATGCGGCAAAGTACAAAGCGCAAAGTGAAGAAGTGTTAAGTTGTCTCTGTAGAATTCGATGTCTGTCCAGGGTGGAGTCGACCGTGAAAAGTGAACATTATTATCTGCGTCGACTGTACCGGTTGACAATTGGGACTCGACGCGCGGATCTCTTCCACTAGCAGCGGTTGCTTGGCAGTCGACGATCGGCAGTCGTGGCGATCGTGTTGAACGTGGTGTCGGAAATATTCAGTGTCCATTTTTTATAACCGGAATAACAGCTTCGAAATTCAGGTCAGCTCATCGGTGAATGGTTGTTTAATCGAATGAAAATTCATATATCGCATATAATTTGTACATATATTAAATTTAAACTAAATCTAGATTTTATTTATATTAAATCTAGTCGAGGCTTTTGCACCTAACAAAAATTAGACGCGGTTTTATCTCGTTCTTTGCAAACAACATAATCGCTTTCGACGAAATAGATATCGGTAATCTACCTGAACCGTGTTATTACTTAACACTGTTCTTGGCGTAACGATACGTATAGAATACGCGAATAAAATACCTTCAGTCAAAAACGCGATACAATCCCAATTAATTCATAGTGATTAAAGTAATTCTGTTTCTTGTAATTTTTTAAACAAAATCTTTGGAATTGATGTCGAAATCAAACGGATATCAAGACGCGTTAGTTGATAATTTATTCGCTGATAGACTTTATTCAAATATCGTACGGTTTCACGACAGATCGAGCCGAGTCAGAGAAGCCGGCTCGCGCTACTCCTACCTCCGAGTGAGTTTGAATCGAATTTTAATCGACGCGACTCGCTGCAACTAATTGTCATCGCGGCCCGACACTATCTTATCGCTGCCTCGACATCGCGCGGGGGAAATAAAAAGGAAGGAGCGGTGTGTATGCCGGCGACTTGTGGCCCTGACGTTACGCAACGCAGCCGACAGATACAATGAAGTCGAAAACGAGTGAGAGTTTTATAGCGAGTGAAAGCAAGACGGGGGTCAGGAAAGACGGTGCCGACGAGCACAAACAAAAACAGTTGAAAAAAGGTAAGGATATAATAGAAAGCCATGTTCTAAAGACCAATAAATCCTTTCCGCGAAGCCGCTTTTAATCTGCGTTCTCCGTAATGAACGATTGCTCTGCATTTGTTGGTAACTTTAATTAATAACGTGAGAGGATGTGATTGAAGTTTAATGCAATAGATCTCTAGCGATGAACTTGTATTATGAATTTTATGACATTCGAATGAATCAGCATTTTTGATCAGCTTTTCAGATTATCTTTTCTTGCAGTATCGTTATCTTTTAATTCGGTGATCGTTCTCTATGACATTTATATCTCATTGCGCTTGTTTGCATAATAGCGATAGATATTCTAGATAAGAAGAATTTAGAAGTACAATTCATACAGCGATTATGTCAAATTTAGCGAATGTATCAAGATATCAACGTATCAATATTCATCAGTCTTGAGACTCTCGATATGAACATGTTAATTTTTAACAAACTATGATATTTGCTGTTAATTATACGAAATAACGATAGTTCCGTGTTCTGATTTTTCGATTTAGAGAACTGCAATATTATGCTTTGTGCTGAAATAAAATTCGCCTCGATAAAGAAAGACACGATGCGATTAAAACTTACACGATTATGCTAAATCGGTTTTTTCAACTGCCGTGGTATTTTACAACACGCCGATCATCCGCGCTTATCAACTTCACAACTGGTTTAACGTCGCGACGGTGTATCGTGCAACGCCATGTGGGTCGCGGTATGCAGAAAAAACGGAATATTTGCATATTGCGATGCTATGCCTCTCAGCTATGAATATCTTCGTCACGATTTTCGTTGTTCGTGACGAGGCACATTTAAGGAATGTGACCTGACGCGCCGGCTGAAAGCATTTTTAACTTTCCCGATGCTCCGTTAAAGAAAAATTCCGCTAACACGTTTAGATATCGATAGGAATTTTGTCCGTGTCTCACTCGTGCAAAGTTGACCCGTGCAAAGCTGTTAACGCCATCTTTTTCAATTATACATTTGTTCCTTTTTAAAAAATTAATATATCAAGTATAATTGAATTCAATTTTTAGTTAATTTAGATGATTTATATTAAATCTACAATGATATAGAAAGTCTCATTTAATGATTATTATTTATTAATGTACAGTGCGAGATATTTTTAACAGTGCAAAACGATTTTTTTCCATTTGAAAGAACGCTGGACGATTGAGTTAGCATGCAAATGACAATGCGTTGGTTTGCAAAGAATTTCGTTTACATCACAGAATATAATTATTGCGATTTCTCGTGGCGCTATCCGCTATAATGAAAGTTGTACGAATATTGCGAATGAAGTATGTGAGCATTTTGTAATTCAATTGCTCCCCATCATCGTGGGATACTCATTATGGGCCTCGTTACATTGTTGCATTATTAAACAGTTGCCATGCAATTGTCATACAATGAGCACGCGACAAAATATAATTTCTTGTTGTATTATGTACAAATCAGTCTCTGTAACATATTGCATAATACTTGCACGTCATAACTTTGACAGCCTTGAACTTTAATGACAGTAAAAAACGAGGAGACATTTGCAATGAAAATTACTTTTTTGTACCCAGATATTTTAGATGATACGTACTTTAAATTATCATATGCACATTCTCTACTTTGCAATTATTTTTTTTGTAAGGTGTTATTAAATTCGGTCACATTTTACAGAAACGAAAATAATTCTAATATACTGTTACCATGCACAGTGATAAGAACTAACCGCAGAAACCACAGTTATCGTAATTACTGTTCGTGTGTTTAATAATCTCTTTCGATAATATATATTTTATTTTTTGTTCTAAGAAAACGATGTGCATATTAAAAAAAAATTTAGAGTGCTAAATATGATAGAATATTTATATATAAGAATGATTGCAATTTTCGAGTTATCAATTCGATCGCGATTTTTTTATGAGTGACATCAGTTTGTTATCGCAGAACAGTCAAGTGCATCAATTTATCTTCTTTTCATTAATTAGAGCAAATTTTAGCATGAATGATAATCAAATTTAATGTTTCACTCTCTGATCACAACATCGATATTCAAACAACAATGCTCTTTTTCTTGCAAAAACATTTTTTTGCTAAAATGAAGTAATTACATTAATTGAAAATTATATTACATTATTTAAATTACATTTATATTTTTTAGTAGTGCCAAAAAATTGAGACAAAACGCAAATGTAGATTAAAATCTAGTGAAATGATCTGAGTAGGAGCGTTTAGAAATTTTTCTGCTTTGAACAGCAAAAACATAGTTCTACAGATGTTCTTTTTATACATCTAGCTCATGCGAGTTTGGTGAAATCTGAGGAGACACACGTGTTTCTCCGTTATATCATGCTATCCGTTGTATCATGCTATCTTCGAATTATATAATGCAACATAAAGTTACATATATACCTATTATAAACGCGGATTAAGCAAAATTCAATTGTACTTTCGAGTTATCGCAGATAATGTTTGCTTTGTTGAGATAACAAACCGCTTTGTACACATCATAACAGCAACGATGTCTACGAATTCGCAATGAAATAGAACACGTGTACATATATATAGAGTATTTCAGACGATTCGGCGTAACGGCAGTTCAAACTACGAAAATATATTTTCTGGAAAATCCACGAGGCCCAAATATTTCCCGCGTGATTCATTACTAGCTTCTCTTCGTGCTGCCAAATTTTCTTCTTCGAACGGAATGACTCGACCTAATAAACAAGTCTTACAAACTCGAAACATGACGAAAACGGTGCATTGTACAATTATCACTAGAGATTCAAGAATATAAATACATTATACAGTTTGCAGAAAGACGCAAAGCAAGTAACAACAGTTTTAACTTCAAATTTTTTCTATTAAAAAAATGTTCTCGAGTTTACATCTTACATTTTAATAAACAAATATTGCGAAAATAATAAGGAGAACTGAGAAAGCTATCGTTGTTAAAAATAGAAGAGTGAAAGTTATCTCGGACAGAAAAGTGCAACGCGATCAGCCGTGATGGGCAGACAATCATGTACGGTCAATTACTATTCGATTTTGTGATCCGGAGAGTGCAACCGAGAGAGATCAGGGCAGCCCAGGGTCGCTGCGTTTGACCCCACTTTGCCACATCCTATTTAGACCACTTATGAATCATATTAACATACCACGTTGCCGCAGTGACAGTACGTATGTAGAGCAGTCGCACCAAGGGACTTTATTCTTCAATTAATTCGGTTTCTGCTTCACGTTAAAACAGAAACATTCACACAGCTGCGTGCAGTCGCGACTTTCCGATTGTTTCATGCAAATCTGATTAACTTTTTGCTTCGATTGTTATTGATTCTTTGAAGCACTTGGAACTTTGATCAAACAGAATGGTGACAGGAATTTTTATTAACTCCTCTCAATTGATGCAATAATTCTGTATACTCTGCTATGAGATTCTTTCGCCGAAGAACATATTTCGAACAATATTTCGTCTATTTTTTTTTTTTAGTATTGTGTTGTACGTGACATCGATACGTTGTTATCTCGGGCAATGACGACCATTGACATCTCGCGCGCGAATCGCGAGAACGATAAATTCCGATATCGTCCGGTCGCGCCTGCTGGCGGATCTATCGGCCAACATTTTTTTTCTGCCAACGTATTTTTCGCTCCGGTTGAAGCGTGCCGTAAATTAAACGAGATGTGACGCGCAGACGAGGGTGTGTCACTTCATGGACGAGTGCCCCCGTTCGATTAAGCGCGCGTTCGCATCGTAACGATGTTCGGTCGTGAGCCTCGATTTTATTCTCTTCCTGTCAGCAAGGTAGAGAAAGCAGCGTCAACATTGTTCTAAGCCGGAAGTATTAAATATGCATCTAAACGCATACAGTGTACATAATTCTTATGAAATTATTTGAATGCTCTGTTTGTTATATCGCTAATTTATTTATAGATAATTACAGAGACTCTAAGGACTCTTTTTCATTTTTAGAATTTATTTTAAAGGGAAGCTTGATAATTTAACTTCTCATTTCGTTCTATTTTTTTATATTGCTACAGTTTGTTAAAATGTCATTCCTAAAGTAAATTTTCAGCAGCATTTAAACGTGCTGCAGTTATTGTTAAGAAACGGACGCGTTTAACTGCATCTACCCGTGCTCGTCGACTTTAAACTCATGTGACGACCCGATGACGTCAAATATATGAGGAGAGCTATGATGTCACCGCGTATTTTTAAAGACGCGGGATTCGACCTTTACCTCCCGCTTTGAAATTTTATGCATGTTTCTCTTTTTCTTTCTACCGCGGTCGCTTTTTAGTATCAGCGGCACCAACATTTGCTTTTATTTCATTCAATTCGCCCGGAATTCTTAACAGTGCTTATTTCTCTTCGAATAAAAAAGAATGTGAAAGAACATTTCAAGTATGATTTATGTAGGATATATAGTTCTACGAATTTACTAAATCAAATGTAGCAAAAACATTTCTGCCTTTTATGGCAAAAATGTTAAAAGTTTTAAAGCTTGAGAAAAATGTATTATTTATTCTATTTTTTAAGCCGTCAGCTTCTTAATTACTTTGCAAATTAAATTCTCATGTAGATTTTTCTTGAAGCATTTACTTGATATTAATTTAAAAATAATATTTTCCGCTCGAAGTTTAATTCTCTCGTTGAATTTTTTAAAAATCTTTTGCATTAATTATTTACGGAAATAGCTGTCCATAAAATTTGCAAACAAAAGTTAATTTTATTAAAATTCGCCGAGGAATTCGCGACTGACAGGTTAATTCGTTACGTGGAATATTCTACATGTAATAAAAAGATCCATCAACGGGATCGAATCAACTCGAATCGAATCGAAACGCTATTTTCCGCTTCTCCCTTTTTTTCTATACACACATGATGTGCATAGAATTACCACGGCCTTTAGGCGGAACAGCGGCACTCGGCGCAATGAGCGCAAAGCGGAGGAAGATTATTAGTTCTGCTGCTAAATATTGACTACTGCATGGAAACACCCCCCTGGCATTTCACGCAATCTGGTCGCGCGTAACGGTGCTACAGATATGCTATAATTTATCGCGGACTGCGCTCAAAACAACTGATAACTTAATGAAGGCGCCACATTCATCGCATTTTCTTCTCGTGAGAGACACGGTTGAGTCATCGATCTGAATGACTGAGCAGGATAAGCACTTGCTTTAGACTAACCTCTACCGTTTCCTACAAATTATCTGCTCATCACGTGTTTCTATTTAATTATTCTCACGACAGTACAAACTTTGTCGACATGGTTGTGAGATGACAGCAGTGGAAACATATTCGATTTGACACACAATTCATGCAATAAAGATGGCACGTAACAACTTACGCCGTGATGAAATAAGTTACGCTTTGTATATCGAGATATTTTATTCATAATGCAGAAGATTGAGTCGTGTAATGATAACATAATGAAGAAGACGTGCTAAATCTAGATGTCATAAAGCCGATTAAATCTTATTCGAAATTAAACAACCGATGAATAATGTATCTACGTTGCTTGTAATATACATGTATACTTGTATCTCGAAACACATTGTGCTTTCGACGTTTTAATCAATGATACGGTGATTTTAATTCGCGACACGTACAGATCGAATACGATGTGTTACAAACGTAATCCGGGCGTAGCGACAAACGAATGCATACATTAAAGTTGCTTTAGTTGATTGTTATGACAAAAAAAAAGACGATGAATTGTTCGCAATATCTAACGCAAAAAAGTATATGATAAAAATATCTCTCTTTACATGTAAAATTATTTGATTTTTCTATAAATTTGATTTAATGAAGTATTTTAAAATCGCTATTTAAAATAGACTTTGTGTTTAATAGCTATATAAAAAGCAAGAAAGAACTATTTTTAATCCGTTATTTGATTTTTACACATTAATTCTCAAATTGAAACTGTCTCGTCTTTGCATACCAATTTACGAAAATTGATTGCTTTGGAACTAATCCAGAATCGGTCCGGTGGAGAAGAGGCGATTAAACTCGCCGCAGTCTCGTCTTCTTCCTGAAGGCGAGCATTGTGGTGCGCCCTTTTAACTAACGACAGGTGCGTTATGTAATTACTGAGTTACGCGAACGGCGATGACCACGCGAGTGCAGTGAGCAAATGGAAGATGCGAGTCGCCATTGTTACATAAACACACTCGAAGAAATCTCGTATGATCAGTACGCTCGAGCGAATAGGTGCATGACTCATCCGATGTCTTTTCCCTGTTATTTTTAGTTCTCTGTACACTTGCAGGAAAAACTTGATGCTGTTTCTTTATTCTATGAATTTTACTATTATGTATTCCTGTTTGCAGTTAATTTCTCATTTTCCTGATAAAGTTAAAATTAGGTTAACAATGTTGAATACATAAAATCGGCGAGAGATTAAATATTATTTGCTCATTTCTTGTTCTCTGGAAGAATTTGTTCTCATTTACAGATAATAGAAACTCGGTGAAAGCAAATTACGATTGTGTTAATTAAAGTCTATAAATTTTTAAATGGCTGTCTGAACGTATAAATGTCTGTAATCTTATTCTAGCCTTTAATGCACGGATTTGTTATGCGCGAGTGCTGTCAGGAATTAATTACGACATTCTTTAATCGATTTACTGTTAGATATTAGCTATGAAATTGGAAAACCAATGAATCGCGAAGGAGGAACTTGCGGATGGTGAACGTTCTCTTATTCCAGGTAAAACGTTTTGCCAGTCCTGTAAGAAGAAGTGCAGCGGAGAGGTGCTGCGCGTGCAGGACAAATACTTTCACATAGGATGCTTTAAATGCGCCCAGTGCAATACCAGTTTAGCACAGGGCGGATTCTTTGTACGCGATAATGCCTATTACTGCACCAAGGTGAGTTGCATTCCACTCGATGTATTTTAATTTCATCTAAATTTAATTATTTTTTTCATTGCAAAGAGACGAGCTTGGAAAATTCAACAACATTGATGATTTCTAACATCCATTTCTTTGTCTTCAGGATTATCGGGAACGGTGGGGCACGCGATGTGCCGGTTGCGGGGAATACGTGGAAGGTGATGTGGTGACAGCCGGCGAGAAGCATGCATTTCATCCGAATTGTTTCCATTGCCAAAGATGTCGGCAACCGTTGCTGGGGCAGGGAACGAAAGTGTCTCTTGTTCAAGGTACTCAAACGATTAGCTTATTTACATAGAAATTAGCATCCGGTCTGCACATCGGTAGTTTTTATCGCTTTTATGTCATTTTTTTATTATAATACGGTCATTTCACGTAGAAATCTAGGACAGCATGCGAAAAACTCGGCAGTTTTTACAATTGTAGATAACGATGCGTGCCTATTGCGTCTCATAACTATCGCATTGGTGCAGCTTTCACAATTAACGTGGCGGTCAATCTGTTAGAGCAGATTGCCACTTAGGCGTATCGTTACTCCACCGTTACAAGGCCGTTTCTACGTACTACGTACGTCCTTGTAACGATTAATGATGCGGTCAAAAGTAAAAATCCGGTGTGACGTACACCGTTTTATTATACACAACGACACAGATGACACATCTTCTAGAAAATAAGCATTAAAAATAAACTGTGCTGAAATTTACATTTAAAATCATGTCAACAAAACTTGAAATATCTTCTAGCTTTGATCGTATAATTCGGAGAATATTAACTTAAGGTAAAAACAAGAGAAGTTACATCTTTTTGTCAATTGATGCGAATATATTTAATATGATAGTGTTATTTTGAAGCGTTATAATTGCAAAAATGCTTAATTATTGCTATTAATTAAATATAATTGATCCAATGTCTCGTAATGCCATCAAAGTAATAAATCTAAGCTTCGCGATCTCAGACTAGTTTCTTCCAAGTGAAAGGGTTACAGGGATAAATGAGATTAGATGATATACTAGTATACTAGTATATCGCTTTAGAGAAGACAATTGGCACGCAACGCAAAGGTTAATGATGACGCCTCGAGATCCGCCGGCCGGATCTCATTCATCTCCGCTAACTGTGCATTGTTCACAGGTCAAGCGCTGTGTCATCGATGCGTTGGTATCCCAGTTCGCGAGGCCGCGACGCCGGTCAGTAATAGCACTGGTACCAAAAGCGGCGGGCACACCGACCCTGGTGCTTGCGCCGGTTGCGGAAACCAATTGAGGGAAGGTCAGGCGCTGGTCGCGCTCGATCGCCAATGGCACGTCTGGTGCTTCAAGTGTCACAGCTGCGACACTGTGCTCCATGGAGAATACATGGGAAAGTGAGTCTCACTTGATTCTTTTAAACATTCATAGATGTTAATTGCGTTATATTAAAAAGATGATCAGTTTTTATGAAGTCGTAAAATTGTCATAAAATTGTCATAAAATTGGAAAAGTCTGAAAACGAAGGAAACAATTATGTCTCTAAAATAGACGGTGAACAAATGTGTTTTTAGAATTGCTTCACTCGTTTTAACTTTAAAATCGTGCCGGAATGAGTAAAGATGCATTGAAACGACCCGTCAGCTGCAACCGTTAAATTCTTTCCCCGACAGAGACGGCGTGCCTTACTGCGAGAAGGATTACCAGAAGCAATTCGGGGTGAAGTGCGCCTATTGCAATCGTTACATCAGCGGCAAGGTCTTACAGGCCGGCGACAACCATCATTTCCACCCGACCTGCGCACGCTGCACGAAATGCGGCGATCCGTTCGGTGACGGGGAGGAGATGTATCTGCAGGGCGCTGCTATATGGCATCCTCGCTGCGGTCCAGGACCCACCGGGCCGAATGGCATCGTGAACGGACACGGAGACGCTCACACCCCGCAACATCGGGAATCGGAGCGGATTTCCAGCAGCGCTTCGGAGATGCAGGTAAGTCCGGTTGCGTAGCGCAATCGGTGTTTCGCTGTCTAAGGCTTTTATTTTGTACATTCGTGTATTATAATTGATTTAGATTACAAGAGCTTGTTTATTTTTCTTAATTATACAAGAACTGACAAAGCAATTGTCGCATATATTTAATTGTTTGGATATTGTATATGATTGTTGATTGTCGAATTAACATGTGTAAAAAGATTGGTTTATTTTATATTACACTCACGTTACGCCTTTCAGCTTGTTGTGAAATATGCTGTACACAGCATTTGTATTTTGTGTAATATCTTTTTGACAATTATTATGCATTACATGAAATATTAATCGTGTCACAAAAAGGGGAAGCTTTCGATTTTGTGGACTAATGCATAGCACAATTTATATTAACGCAGTTATTTGCATATTTATTAAAAACAATTATTATTAAATATCAACGGATTTTAATGCGTATATACAGGCAGTTTGTAACTATACTTTTTTTTTATCGATAGATGCTACATGAATAGTAATATTAAGCATTCGTGATATGCTTTTTAATATATTCTGTGACTTGCGTTATATCGTCGAAGCAACAGCCGTTTATTTCGGTGAATGAAAATAGCGTCGCGTTCCTGAGTGTCCTAAAATAATACATGAATGAATGTCTACTGAATTCCTTTCTGTCTGATTTAAGTAAACGAACCAATGAACGAAACCAATGTTTTTAAACGTAACTGCTTTTAATTATTTGTTTGAAATTTATCGTTAAAAAAGTGTGCTTTTTATCGGGGTTTTGTTGTATATTAAAAATTTATTAAATTATTCTTAAAATCGAAAGTTTAACATCGTATGATTCAATAGTTAATATCATTTATATTGCTATTATTATTAAATTCCATATTTATTATTATTATGTGTATTAGAAAGTAAAGAAATGCATGTTGCTATTTGCACTCGCATTATTAGTTGCATTTGTATATTAATAATTGTATTCGTCTGCATAAATTAAATTTATCAATTATGATTATAAAGCAGACGAAGTGTTTCGCATTTATCAATTTTCATACTATTTGACTTTATAGAAATCCTATTAAAAAAAAATTAAAAATGTAATATTTTTACATCTCCCTCGAAATTGTTATATTTCGAAACTCTTTCCAAGTTCTCTTATGAAACACTTTGTCATTTGACATGTATTTGTGTATGTATGTAACTATTTAGTGTGTAGTATTCTCTAGTAATTATATATAAAACAAGATATCTTGTAGAGGTATTCAGCTTTGTATATAGCTTGATTTTCGGAAATCCGACGGCTTATCGTTTTATCGTTCACGCACGCCTCGTCATAGGAAACAAGCGAAACGTCAGAGATTATATTATCGTATTTGATTTTTATTAAGTTTTTATTATCGCTTTTCTTAATTGTTGTTTACTTTTTCCGCACGGTCATTGTGTATAGTTTTCATTGCGGTCACGCACGCCAAGCCTGAACGGATCGCTGTGCAGCCCTTACAGCAGCCTCAGTCGCAAGGTATGCCATGTGTCACTTAGCACAGCACTCTCTCGACAAGTATTTCTGGTATCACTTCTCGCGTTACCTCTCCTGAGCATCGCGTGCTTTCGCTCTGTCAGACGCTCGGGATCCGATTTCAACTTCATCGATCCGTCGAACAGAAGAGAGCCTTGCAAATAAAATTATCGCGACATTATTTAAGATTCACTTATTAATTAATATAAAATATAAAGTTTTAATAGCAAAACAATGGTTAGATAAAATCAAGTTGCGTCGATGATTTTTATTTAATTTTAATTTGCTATTATCCATTATTTCCTAAATCGCAAATATAATCGTAATATAAATGAGGAAAACATTTTGAAGATTTTAATATAAAGTCACTTAATGCAATGTTCGTTGCGTATTTTGACAGAGCGTTGCACGATCTCTTTCTGCTGTACAAAATGCGTTGAAAATCTAAATATATTTGAAACAATATTGACTATTTTAAAAAAGAACGAGTTGGGAATAAAAAGTAAAGTTATTTTAAGCGAGACTGTTTTTTTTTTAGATTTCCAATTTTTTGCGCACTTTGTATAGCTGACATTGATATCCAGATATGTAAAAAAAAAGCTAATATCACATGCTTGATAAGATACATTGATTGCCTCAGTATTATCCCGCGCGAACTGGAAGTCCTGGCCTGATCTTGAGAGAATATGGACGACCAGCAGAAGATGTGTCTAGGATTTATACTTACTCGTATTTGACTGAAACGCCCAGTCAAGGATATTTGAGACGTCCGATACAGCCCTACGATAAACCCCCAACTAGCCCGCATTTTCATAGACCTAGTTGTAAGTTTTCTCTATATTTCTCACTCCATTAAAATTCCAAAGTTGTGCGTCACTTTTAACATTTTGAAAATCAGAAATTGTATATTAAATTAAAATTTTTTTAAATTATAACTGAAGTACTGAAATATAATTCAATTTTAGTAAAATTTTTAAAAGAATTTTTTTTTTATTTTTTAAAAATTTGTTTTAATTTTTTATTTAGAAGTTTACTGCTTCAATTATCGATTCAATTCAATTTATCTATGTTTTGTAGGATTAGATCGTTTACAATCATGTGAAAATGCGTTTAATTATTTGCATAGCATCTCGTTCGATAAGAAGCAGCGGTGGACGCAGCAGCAGGTCGGGAATGCGAGCTCTGGTCGATGCTCTGAGCGATACCAGACCGAAATCGCCGGCAAGTCAGGTAGATAACGATGAACCCATAGAATTGGCGCATTATCCAGACGCTATGAAGCCGCCGCCGGGGGCTCAACCGCCAATCGAGAGAGATGATTTTCCTGCTCCGCCGTATCCTTACACTGATCCCGAGAGACGTAGACGATGGTCTGACACTTACAAGGTATTACTTTATCACTTAGTCTGTACAGAAGGATACGACATGTCATTTTGTTCGTTGAAAGAATCATATGTGTGATTTATGAATGCTTTAATGCTTACTTCTAATCTAGGGAGTACCTGCATCTGATGACGAGGATGAAGTGGACAACAAAACATATATTAAAGAGGCGGAGCAGAAGTTGAAAAAAGAACGGGATGAATTGAGCAAGATCGACACGGGAATAGCTAAAGTATTCCTGCAAGATCGCGAGAAGGATCGGGAGAATTTGCGACACAGGGCTGCGAATGTTGATCCTAGAAACGCCTCGAGGACACCGTCCGCCGCCAGGGAACCTTCATACCGATTGCGTTACGAGAGTCCTGTTGGCGCATGTAAGTGTCATAAAGATCTTTATAAATAATCCAGCTTGTCTATTATATTTAGTGTTTTGAGAATATATTGTTTCTTGTGAAAAATTTGTAGAGATTAATATCAATGTTGCACAAGTATTTCGGTAGAAAAAATAATTCGAAGAACATTTTTGCGCAGCGCCTTCGCGAAATATCGATCATGCACGCCCTTGGGAGGACGACGATGGTTTCAGCTACAGATCTAGCGGGCCTAGCTACAACGGTGAGTTTCCGTTCGTCATATAAACGCCGCTCGTAATTGTCTCATTAACATAAGTAACGATCATCTCATACATGTCCACACGTTCGCACATGACACTAACATACCACTCTACCGTTTGAAGTAACATCGATTAGAAAACATTGCAAATCTCGATAGAGTGGGGTTTCCCAGGGCGGGGAAGTCGTAAATGGTCCCATTTTATCGCTAAGAAATGTTCGGGGCACGACGGGTCGGCGAATCGCGACGCGGGAGGGGTTCACGCTAATTAACTAACGATGATAAACAGTACGTAACTGTCGAGAGCGAGACTTTGTTTTAAGTAGCGTGTAGCATCAAATACCACGTACTGGACGCCCAATTAATATAACAGGTGATGTATTCTATGCCTATGCATGTTGTCGTCCCTTACCTCGATGTGCTTGCCTCTTTATCTTTTCTGTTCGACGAGCTGCGGACAGCGCGATACCTCAAAATAACGGACAGTTAAAACTGCCATTACAATCTTTAGTTCTGGAAATTTGTCTTTTCTGAGGTAATTGATCTTGTTCTATATTTTTGCATGGCACTTGGGACCACGAAATTCATTATACACGGATACACATTGCCTCAAATGCACATCACTTTCATTTCCGTGGCACAATCGTAGATAAAACTCGAACTGGATTTTTAAACTGATTGAAAAATTGGTTTATTATCCTTTTTTCTTTTTTTTTTTAACACCTTATAATAAGACTCGAACCGCCACCAACATTTTGTCTGAGTTAACCGAAACTAACATTCAGTGGAAGTTAATATAAGATAAACATGAATATTCATCACAAATTGAAATATTTTATTTCTTATTTTATTTATTTTCGCAATATTTCTTTTCGATATTATACAAAAGAATTAAATCTTATTGGTTCTTCTTTCTCTCTTTCTTTCCTTTGCTATTTATTTCAAAATAAAATAGCTCATGATCCGTTGCTTAATCAGCTTTACTCGGTTTTAAAAAAATTGGCAATCAAAATGCTAATAAAAAATTTTAGTACCGGTATCGGTTAAAGATGCTTAATTCTGAAATATTTTCTAGTTACAAGTCTTATCTACAATGTTGGAAGATAATTCAGCACCACGTTTTGTTTCACCGCCACCAGCGCATGATGATTACTTTTTACTGCATCGCACATTTTTGCTTTTTGAAATTTTGCTTCACGGTATCTTCCAATGTTGAATCACCAGTTATTCTGGAACGCTAATTAAAATTAAACTAATTAAAAATGCTCGGCAATTATTTTAATTTTGTGCAAGAAAGAAAGTAGTAACACAATTAAGATTGCTGTTGTAGCATTTATTGCTGCATATATTAAGTTCCAATCGTATCTCCGTTACAATAGTTATCTAAAATAAAATTTGATCTAATAAGATCGCGTAAAGTTAGCGTTTTAGATTTAACATATGGCAATTTATGTTAATCACGACGCTACTACTTGTCGTCTACTATCATCGTGTCTCTATTTGTGTTTTTGTGTTTGTGTTGTGTTTGCGTGGGCGGCAGTTGGGAGGTCATCGGCGCGCTCCCCGGCTCCCAGAAACTATCCACCCCTTGGTACTCAGCGCGCCTTCACTCTTCCAAACGCCACTAGGCACTATCACTCGGTGAGTCCGAAAACTTTCCAATTCGCCCGCCGCTGGTCCCAAGTCAAATCGAGTCCGTTTTTAAGTTATTCGGTAGGTTTCCTGATTTATCAGTTTGATTTTCCTTCGTTTTTAAGTCACATCGGACGATCTCAATGTTATTATTAACATTATCTTATTTTATGCAATTAACGATTGCAAATTGTGCACGTGTAAAGTAGGCATGTAAAGTATATTTGGTGATGGAAGAATAGATTCATAATTGTTGTTTCGACATTAAGACAAATTTAAGTTGATTTTCAGTGAATAAAATCCAAAAAGTAAATTTTAGATGCACCCCATTAAAATTGAAAAGACCACGAACTGTACATATATAAATTACACTTTTGTTTGTAAAAAGTCATGTTTAGATTTGTTTCTGTATTTTCAGTAAAGAAGGAAAGTTTTTGACTTGTTATCACGGCGGGCGCGCTTACAAGAAAAATCTATTGTACTTACACAGGTGCTGGCTTTCTACGTATCTTTTTTGTCTTAATCGCGGATTGCCTTGCACATTTATTTTACGAGAGTCATCGCTTTATGCACTTGAAATTGTCGGATAAATGCCGTTTGCCGACGGGGGTGCGATAACGTATTATATTCAATGTTCTTTGTTTTGCACGCGGTAAAATAAAAAACAATTACATCCTAAGGATGTACTCAGCAATACGAAATGTGCGCATATTTTAGATGTTTGCTCCAACATTTGTCAAAAACTTATGTTTTATTCTATTAATTGCATGAGAAATAATTATTAAAAAGATACAAGAACACGAAAGTTTAATCAAAATTATACCGCATGTATATCCATGAATATGTTCTTTTTTTTTTT